AATATTAGTTCTCAAACCAGTGGAATCTTCAGCCTCTAAGCAGTTCTTCTCTGGGGGATTCTTTCCAGTCACAGTGTAATTGTCTTTCTCTGTGTGAAGTGAAGTGATCAGGCAGGTGTTCTGACTTCGCCTAATGAGTTTGTGATTTGTTTTTGTCTCTTCAGAGGTGTGTCGGTGTAATTGCTCCCCTGGAAATAAAACTTACACTCAAGTTTCACTCAACATTGTCTTTTTCATTCCAGGCAGTTGTCAGAGTTTTAATTTGGCATTTTAAGAGAAGAATGCATGACGAGAAATAAAGAAAAGAATAATGGGTTTTCTTTAATGTTAGAGACTAGTGTAGGCAGTCCTGTGAAATCTAACTGGAACTTAGATGAATATATTCAAGGTTTCTTTCAAATGTTCATCAAAGTTATATTTTCAGTTCAGCACAGTAATGGGTAAATCTGATCTGACATACAGTAAATAAACATGACCCCCCCAGACTTTCTCGTCTGAATTTGACCTTCGGACTAGTCTTATTGAAATCTTGTGAGACCAGGTTCTCCTCATGCAGAAATAATATTTCAGTAGGCATAGATCTAAAGTTTAAAATAGATAAATAAATTATTAGGGAAGCGCTTCAAGGAGAACAGAGACGAGCACAGGTGTTACATCGGGTATGACCTTCCACATTCTGAAGTTTATTCTTTCACAGAGATTTACCTTTGTGCACTTTCCCACAGCTACTCCATACAGGGGAACACAGTGAAGTTATTCCGAACTAGACAACAAGCAGTCAGGTTGTCCTTGAGGTCTCCACAGAGGCAGAACAGAACACGGTCAGGTTATCATCCCCCACAAAGGCTCCACTGGGCCCAGCTCCTCAAAATAGTGAGAACTTGCCAAATGGAGAGGTCATCTCTAAAAAAAAATATACACTGTATATACTCACCAGACACTTTATTAGGAACACCTTGCTAATACCAGGTTTTACCTCCTTTTGCTTTGAGCTGCCGTATCTCTTTGTCCTACAAAGATAACATTGATGACTTCCTCTCTACCTTTAATGAAGAGTTTTGACAATTCAATATATATATATAAATATGTGGTTTGACAACCATTAGAACGGTTTCTGTGTAGCTACATAGACAGACCACCATCACCAACTTCTGACTCACACTCAGTAGATAAGCACACCTGAAATATGACAGAAGCCGCTCAGTTTAGAAAAGAGCTTCAGGGGTTGTCCTTGCTTTAAAGAGGTAAAGAGTTTATTATTGATAGCACAGATTTAACAAGATGCTGGAAACATACCTCGGGGATTTTGGTCCATATTGACATGAAGCCATCATGCTACACTTCCATCTTGTTCCACCACATCCCAAAGGTTTTCTGTTGGAATGGTGACTGTGGAGGTCATTTCAGGACAGTGAACTTGTTGGCATGTTCAAGAAACTAGTTTGAGATGATTTGATGGTTATAACTGTGCTCATAAAGGTCAGCAAAAATACTCAGGTACAGTAGGCTGTGAGGTTTAAATGATGCTCAGTTGCTACTATGGGGCCCAAAGAGCACCAAGAAAATATCCCCATAACCTTTACTCCAGAACCGTTGATACAAGGTAGGATGGATTCATGCACTTGTGTTGTTTATACCATCAAAATGCAGCAAAATTTGAGACGAAATCCGACCCGGCAACATTTTTCTAATCTTTTGTTGAGACTGTGTGAATTGTAGCCTCAGCTTTCTGTTCTTAGTAGACAGGAGGTACATTCAGTGTGGTGCAGAGACATATGATACCAGATATTTAACAAATAAGGGTCTCTGTTTTCCTTTAAATAGAGCAACTTGAACATCATGTTGAATTAAATAAGACATTAAACATCAGAATGAGACCACAAACCCAGGAAAGTGTTTACTGATGCCACAGATTTTACAGTCTCATAGAAACTTATATTACAGATTTATTTTTCACAACCAGAGGAGGCACGCCCTACTGCCTCATACTCAGGCACTTAAATATGAAGCTGCGTCCATCTTTTATAGATACTTACACAGATGTGGGTTTTGTCAGGTACACATGAAGTTTTTTATGTTGTTTTGACAGTTCAGAACATTTGTGTAGACTTTTTTCCCTTCATGGATGAAATGGGATTCATGGTGTATCAAAGGTCTTGCTCGAAGGGGCTCCAGATCTCGCTCTTATCAATCAGCCTGTACCACCAGGTGTTGCTTTTTTCCTCCAGCAGTCAGATAACTGAGAGACAGTTTGTGTAACCAGCATTTAGTGTGCCAGGTCACCTCACAGATTCCACTTTTATTGCTCTGCCTGCAAATGGTGATACACAGCACAATAATAAATGTTGACACAAGTCGTGGGGTGCTTTCACAGCAGGTTCAAAATAAGAAACATCATTCAGTTTGTGTTCAAAGACTTTACAAAAAAAAAAAAACTTTACAGACATATGACTGACACAAACCCAGCTCATTTTATTTTAATAAACTTTGTGTGTGTTTATTTTCTGTCACAGAGAAGTTACAAAGAGTAATCAGCTAGAAGCAATGTGAATCAAGACTGCAACTACACCATGTGTTATGTTGTAAATGGAAATAAATGGACTAAAATATATAATAACAAAACACGCATTTGTGACAATAAAACACTGGCAGCAATAAATAGAGAAAAAAATGTCAGATATTGTGTTATTATATCTTGTTCACCTCTTTGCTAATGATGAATCAGCTCCATCAGCTGTTTATCGCATCAAACGAGTCTGTTATATTGTGATGTTGGATATTAACCTCCTAACACTGTCAGTACCAACTTGTTGATTGTTGAGAGGTTAATGGGTGTTAATTTGTGTTTTCTTTGCTGCTGATCCAGTAAGGGTCACGAGGGCAGCAGTCTAATCAGAGATGACCAGACCTTCCTGTGCCCGGCCACTCACTCCAGCCTCCTACAGGAGGATACAGGAGCAGAGTTTTCTATGTATTCAGATAGAGGCTTAGGTTATTATTCTACCTTGTTAGTGTTGAAATAATTGTATCTGTCTAAACAAAGCAAACATCACTATATTATGGGTTCATCTACAGCTGGTGGTAATCACCAACAGAGGAAATGAGGTTCCTCTGTAGGCTGTCTGGCCTCTCCCTTAGAGATGTGGACAGAACAGAGCATTATTCCTCCACATCAAAAACAGCCATTTCAGATGATTCAAGGATTTGACCAGGGTGCTTACAGGTGAGATGTTTCAGCATTTCCAACTGGGATTAGACCCGAGGGCACACCCAGAACATGCTGGTGAAATTGAATCTCTCAGCTGGCTTAGGAATGCCTCAGACTCCCCCAAGAAGTAAGTGTTAGAGGAGCTGGAGAGGGAGAGAGAAATCTGAGAATCTCTGCTTAGACAGGTCTTGTTTTTGTACCTGTCTATTCATTAAGTAACTCACTCATATCTGGCACCCTGGAAGATCAATATTCAGTTCAAACAACAAGAGCAGCTGGTCGATTGTACAGGTTGTAAACCAATAACAGAGTTAATGAGTATTTAGAGTTGGTGAAAATGCAAATATTGGCCATCCCAATGACTGTGACTGTTTATGAGTCCTTCCATGATTAATATAGCTGAACACACTCTTTTTTTCCTGTGAGAGAACTTTTAGGATTTAAGTGACTGGCTTGTTTTCACTTTTTCTAGCTCATATTTCTTCCCATGTTGAACATGTTTTTAGTAGTGTTGCTTGGTCTTGCTTGCCAGCACTTATACTACACCACCAACTTTCATCAACTTCTGGTAATTATGACTAAAAGACTATTACGGGGCAGTAGCTTCTGTTTTAGTCAGTTACAGCTGCGACAATGCGGTCATAACAAGTAACTATGGATGGGAAACACAAGAAACAAGCCTCCTTTACTTTAGTTCTGATCAGTCCAGAATACCATTTTAATGACTTCCATCTCATCAAATTTATAAATAAGAGAGAACATTAGGGTCATCAACAAAGAGTCACTTATGGAGTTATTGTTTTGCAATGGAACTGAATCTAAAAGTTCTTAACTGCAACTCTAACAGCCTCAACTTGAATTACATAAAAAACACACAATCAATTCAAAACTGTTCAAAATGACGAGTTTGGTGACTGCAAAGAAATGCAGGGATCAAAAAGCTTTTATCGCTGCAGCTTAAACATGAACAAAGTTCCACAGCAGTACGGCTCATCCACCCTGCCAACACAGTCAGACTATCTGAATCCACTGAAGCACCAGAACAAATGCCACAGTAGTTTGTGCTACAAATAAAGCAAGGCAGCAGCTACCTGCGACCATATCACCGAAAGTCTTGTGAAGCTTTGCTCTGAGCATTCATCAGAGCAGCAGGGTGAACGGCTAATGTGTTTTTTAGCATCTCAGTTAGAATTCTCCTAAACCTCTACTCAGAATTTATGCATCGCCATCTCTGTCTCGGCGTGTTTACTTAACCGTGTATCTCAAAGTTGGAACTTGGACACTGACTAGAACATTTGCTGTGTTTACTCTGATTAAAGTTTGGCTTGGCGATTGTGAATGCAGCTGAGACAGAAGCTGTCTGCAGTCATATGCTATTCAAACTGAAAATATATTCCAACACAATAAATTTAGAGGTATGCGTGCCAATTAGACTTCCTGAAACTTTCTAAAGTCCCAGTTGTTCAAAAGTGTCTGAGTGTGGCTCTTTCTCTGCATTTTGTGACCATAGCAGCAGCAGGAGAAATGTTTTTAATGGAGCTTCTTAATGGAATCAGAATTTCTCACTTAGCACCCAGAGAGCGTCCCAGTTAATCCCGCAGACATGCCTTATCGGGGCTTTTAGTTTTATTACCTTCCTGTCCCTGCAGGAAGGTGGTACTGCAAATAAGTCACATCAAATACTCACATTCCTAAAATGATACCAGACTTTTGCTATACCGGTAATTTGTTGCACCGGGGCAGAGTGGCTTCAGTCAGTGTGATGGTGTGATATTGTGTCCCTGCCCTGTAGGATTCCTCCTAACATCCGAGACATAGTTTACTGCACCGGAGTCAGCCTGATGGACGAGGATGTGTGGGAGTTCATCTGGATGAAGTTTCACTCTTCCAACGCAGTTTCAGAGAAGAAGATCCTGCTGGAGGCTCTGACCTGCTCAGACAACACTTTCCTCCTCAACAGGTAGACATGGCTCGGCTGTCTCTGTCATTGCAGCTATTGTTTAAAAAAACACAGCTATCTCATTGAGTGTTTGTGAGGTTAAATTGCAATTCATAAAGTCATATGAATCAATATCATTGATCTACCCAACAAATATGCCCTGTTGGGGCCCATGTGAGGGCAAGTTTGGGCAGACCCACGCACCCCTAATACAAGGGGTCATCGCATAGTTGATTTGGCAGATTTTTACACCAGATGCCCTTCCTGACACAACTCTCAAAGGATTTAGGTCTCCCACATCGGGCCCGCATGGATTCTATACAGTATAACCATTTGTTTGTGTCTTTCGAGACGGTCACAGTGATAGACTGACCCAAGAGTCTGAATTCTGCTTCACTATTTTTTATGTTTTCAGGAACGCAACAGCAGTAACAAATCTTCCCATGTGAAATCAGGATTTTGTGACTGAAACTGAAACTTGAGCCATGTACAATGACTCTGTGCTGGAGGGGAACATAGAGACAGGCCAAGTGTGTCTGAGCATCACATATATAAATGACAGTGGTGGGATAGCATCCTGAAGTGAGATTAAGTTAACCTGTTAACATCCACTGGCATTTGTGTGCCTGTCAGGCTGTGCCAGTATCACAGTCACATCGTGTAATCTGAATATTAAATAATTCTGCATTGCTGCTATTTTTAATCAGTTTCCTGCTGTGATCTTAATTCACATCTGGATTATCTACCTCCTGCTGTTTGTCTTTAATTGCATCTTGCGTACATGTTCTGCAAATGTCATATAATATTAAATTGTTAAGACCTTCCGGCAGATATGTAACAACATTCGCATTTATTTTGAGCTGTAATAGGTGTCTGTGTAAGAGGGACCAAAAACAGACATGTGGAAGACAGGCAGGATGGAATAAATAAATAGAACTTTAATTTAAAAAAAAAAAAAAAAACATACTGAAAATAAACAGAACGTGCTGCCGGGAACAGTTTGGTTAAGACCAACTTAGACTGAGTCTAAAAAAACATTATCAGACCAAGAAATGAAGGTAAAAGCCCAAATTTGGGGGACAGCGTGGAAACAATGACTTTGTTCATATTTGGAAAATGGCTCCGATACTGCAGAGTTGTGTCTGTACTGGGCTGTATTAGAATATGACAAACAAACCAGTGAACAATAAAAAATAAAAAGGTGACTAAATCCTACCTGTCAGGTGAGCTCTGTTAATTGGCGGCGCACTGACAGGAAAAAATTGCAAATTGACATAAAGGTGTGTGCAGTGAAAAGATGCCTGGGGGGCGTTACATGTGCTGAAATCCAGCTAGGTTTGTGTGTGTGTGTGTGTGTGTGTCTGTACAAGTGTGTTTTTGTGTGACTGTCTATACACAACACTGTATTTTATCAGGGGCAACTGCCACTATTGCTCATTGAGAAAAATTGCAAGGATGAATTACACACACACTCGTGGTAAGACCGATCAGTGTGTGTAGGTGTGTGTCTATGAATGTGTATGTGTGTGTGTCTCAGGTATTGATTTTCTACCCACAGTAAACTGTTCTGCAATCAGAGAGGTGGTACTGTATGTTCAGATTGCAACACACACACACACACACAAATCAAAAACCACAGCTCAGAAGGAAGCTGATTGGTCACACAGGAAATGGTTTCAGCAGAGGGATTGTGGGAAAAGAGAGAGAAAATTGATTTGGGGGTTTAATGAAAAGATGGCAGTTACAAACAATGAGCCAAGCGACACACACACACACTCACACACACACACACACACACACAGTGAAGCAACAGAAAATAAAGAAAGATGAAGGTAAACTTTGAACACGACGTTGGATGATTGAACATAAATTTATGAAACTCTTTGGCCTGCTCAGTTTCACATCTCAAAGAAAAAGAAAAACTCTCAATTTGATACGTTTACACCTCCAAAAGATCGCTCTGTGTGTGATCAATGTGTTTCTGTAAATCCCTTTAAATTCCCTCTTAAGCTGAGAGTAGCTCACGTGAGTGTTTCAGAGGACTCTTTCTTGATTTGGCAGAAACATCCTCCGGCAGCTCTCAAGGCAAAAAAACTACAAAATGACAGCTTGACCTTTTCTAGCCAGATTACATGAGCTGTTGACCCTCACGCTGCTGGCGAGTGACACACGCGTTAGACTTCACACACTGCGACTCTCACACCAAATCCAGAAACAGAGGCTAAACAACTCTTAATATCTGAACACAAAATACACTTTACGAGTTCCAGTTGCCAGAGGTGCACAGAACTTTCTATGTGAGGTTATTAATCCATGTATGAGAAAACTTTAACAGGAGGTAAAGAAGTTTATTGAGCGACTTGTAACTTTAAAAGATCCATATTTACATACCACATTGTTTTTTCTTAACTCTTTACTTCTTGAAAGCTGCTGTCATATTTCATGCATCAGGGAAGGCAGATGGGACAACACTGTGGAAGAGTGTGAGCGTCGTCTTTAAGGGCTTTATAGTTAAATTCAAAGTCAGTATTTGGAGCAAATTTAAGTCTTTATTAATATTGTGATCGTGCTAATATTTGTTGAGCATGTTAATGTGTTAGCATATATGGAACCTATCAGCTCTCCAGGTAGACTCGGTACAGCCACATTCCAACCTTTCCATCCTTTTCTTTGTGTCTCCAAGGCTGTTGAACCTGTCTCTGACCTCGGACCTGGTCCCAGAGCAGGATGTGATTGATGTCATCATCCACGTGGGTCGAAACCCTCAGGGTCGGAACCTGGCCTGGAGGTACTTCAGAGAGAAGTGGGACATCCTGAACGCGCGGTAAGAGACGTGAACGATCAGAGAAGCACGCAAGCGTCTTCAAGTTCTTTACATGTAGCACCTGAAATGCCGTCTCTGTCTTCATTTCTGTTCAGATATGGTGAAGCTTTGTTCATGAATTCAAAACTCATCAGTGGAGTCACAGAGTTCCTCAACACTGAGCGAGAACTCAATGAGGTGAGTGAAACAAGTGGTGGTCTAAGATCAGATTTGCACACTGTTAGACCTCTGCCTCACCACTACATATTTCAAATACAACGAGGGTTTCTACAGACAAAAACATGGCTGCGCCATGGGCTCCCCCGTGTCACCTATTGTAGCCAACCTTTACATGGAGGAAGTGGGAAGAAAGGCTCTTGGCTCTTTTAAAGGAAGAGTACCCAGCCACTGGTACAGATATGTAGACGACACCTGGGTCAAAATCAAAACACAAGAAGTGGAATCCTTCACTGCGCACATTAACGCTGTCGATAAAAACATCAAGTTCACCAGGGAAGACACAAAGGATAACTGTTTGCCCTTCCTGGACTGCGCTGTGCACATTGAAGAGAATGGCAACCTCAACAT